CCAATTAAATGTTTTCTTTTACAAGAGTTGCCATGGTCATGATGTCTCTTCACAGAAACAGAACACTGACTAAGACAAAATTGTAAGCAGAACACCCATACACATAAAATAAGTAGGTCTTTTTTAAAAAGTAGGTAACACCATCTGCTGGGACTGGGTCCTGAAAAGCACAAAAAGCAGGAAGCAAACTGAGCACCAACGTCATCTGCTTCCTGGCTGTGAATGCGATGTGCCCAGCGACTCCATGCTACCAGGCTTTCCTTACCATGGTTGACTTTACCCTTGATCTCTGAGCCAAAACAAACCCTTTTTTTCCCTTAAGTATTGCATTTGTCAGGGTATGTTGTCATAGTAACAGGAAGAGGGACTAAGACAGAACCTTTGTAGCAGGAGTGGGGCTGCTACTGTGATAAACATGATCACATGGTTCCTAGGCCTTCGATCTGGTTTGTGGGAGGAATGTGGAAAACTTTGGTAAACAGAGCATAATGGACATTGTAAAATGTTGAGAGAAATCAGATAGTGGAGGCCTGGCTCACAAAGCTTCAGTGGGGAACAAAGGACTCTGTTAGGAACTAGGATAGAGGCCAAATGCTATTTTGGCCAAGATTCTAGTTTTATTTTCCCCTAAGACTCATTTTTTAATTGTCTGTGATATAAATACCCTCCACTTTGGGATGTAGCTCAGTGTAGCCCCTGGACTCAAACTCCAGCATCAGAAAATGAAAGAGGAAGGCAGCAGGAAAGGAAAAGAATGAGAAGAAAGAAAAGGAAAGTAAAGTAAAAAGGCATTTTACACACTCTCCTATACTACCCAGCTCAGTCAAAAATTTCATGACTAAGTTCCTGAAAACACTACTTTAATCAGTGTTCCAAGAGTAAAGGTGTGGAAATACCCGCTATGGAGATTAAGGGAAGCTTAGTGACTGGAGAGATGGCCTAGCAGCTAAGAGCAGCGAATGCTCTTCCAGAGCATCGCATATGCGTGGCAACTCAACCCTCTGTAACTCCAGCTCTAGGGCATCTGACATCATCTTCTGACCTCCTCCATATGCACTGAACACGTGGTACACAGACATACAGGCAGGCAAACAACCATACATATAAAATAGGAAAAGTTCTCTTTAAAGAAGGGAAAGTATTTAACAGTGAAGGACTCTGGTAAAGACCCCAGAGTCCAGCTGAGTCAGGCATCTGAAAAGATATGTGTTTCAGATCCCAGAAGGGATGCCAGACTGCAGGCGCATTGCAGCAGGAGAGTGTATGGATTTTACACAGGAGGCCCTAGATCAGTCCCTAACACCAACAAACGAGAAGGAACACAGTCTCGGTGGGCTGCATAACCTGTACAAATAGTTAAGTGAGCCAAACTCTATCTAAATCCCAGATCATTGTCTGACCACAGCTGAAGCCCAAGTTAGATTGTGTAAATCTTTATGTTTTATGCTAATCGTTTTACTTCTCCCAAAGTCCATGGTCTGACACTCACGATTCATCGGTCAACACACAGAAAAGAAGTGTGAAGCAAGATTCGGGAGATGTGAGCAGTTGTGGCGGAAGGCTTGATGAACATACCAAGGCACAAAGCTTGATGAACATCCCAGCACCCAAAGCCACAAAGTCACTGGACAGGTCAAATGGTCAAATGGCCCTTTCACAGGGGTTACATAGATATCCTGCATATCAGATATTTACACTATAATAGATAACTGTTTTAGTTTTGGTTTTTTTTGAGACAGGGTTTCTCTGTGTAGCTTTGGAACCTGTCCTGGAACTTACACTGTAGACCAGGCTGCCCTCGAACTTACAAAGATTCACCTTCCTCTGCCTCTCAAGTGCTGGGATTAAAAGCGTGTGCCACAACCACGCTACTTTTTAGTTTGAAAAGATTTATTTTGCTGCATGTACACTTATATACCACAAGAGGGCATCAGATCCCATTATAGATGGCAATGAGCCACCGTGTGGTTGCTGGGAATTGAACTCTAGGACCTTTGTAAGAGCTGCCGATGCTCTTAATTTAAAAATCAATATATAAATAAATTTTGAATACTAGACTGGACATGGACATGCCTACAATCTCAGCTTTCAGAAGGTTGAGGAGAAAGGATTGAGAGTTTGAGGCTAGCCTGAGCTACGTAGCAAGACTATGCCACAAAAACCAAAGGGCTAGAGATGTCAGTGGTGGAGTCCTTGCCTGGCATGCCAAAAGCCATGGGTTTAATTCTACACAGACACACACACACACACACACACACACACACACTTTTACTTAGTTCTGTTCCTCTAGAGAACCTGAATACAACAGATAACATAACAATACACCATTGTCTCACTTTATGTGAAAGCTGACACTGGAAAATCACTTGATCTCACAGAATCCCAACCTAGACGATAAAGCAGGATCCTGCTCATCCAACTAAAAAACAGAGTCAGGGAGATGGCTCAGTGGGTAAAGGAATTTGTTGCCAAGCCCGATGACCTGAATTTTATTTCTGGGACCCACATAATGGAAGGGGAGAACAGACAAGTTGTCTTTTGATTGACGTACTTGTACATCCATGTTCATTGCTGCTCTGTTTACAATGCCTAGGAAGCAGAATCAACTTCGTTGTCCACCAACTAAAGAATGGCTAAGAAATATGTGGTACATATTACCACAAATTACTCAGCTATAGAGAAAAATAAAAGGCATGAAAGTTTCAGGTAAATGCATGGAACTGGAAAAAGTACCGCGTGAGGTCACTCAGGCCCAGGAAGACAAACACTGTATGTCTTCTCATACATGCTGACATAGATTGTCTACTAGTACAGTGATAAACACCGTGACAAAAAAAATGACTTCTGGAGGAAGGGGTTTTATTGTCTTACATGTCTCTTAATTACAGTCAACCATTGAGAGAAGTCACGACAGAAACTCCAACAGAGCGTGGTGCGGGAGAATTGTCTGTATTCTGTCAATCATGTTTTAAATAAACGCTGATTGGCCAGGCAGGAAGTATAGGCGGAAGAACCAGACAGAAAGTAGAAATGATAAAAGGAGAACAGGAGAATTCTGGGAAGGAGGAATTTGATTCCTCCCACTCCCACACTCCTGCCCAGACCACCGAAGCAGCAACATGTGACCTGCCAGCTGAAAAAGGTACCAGGCCTTATAGCAAAAATAGATCAGAACAATGGATTAATATAAGCTACAAGAGCTAATAAGTAGCCTGACTAATGGGCCAATCAGCTTTATAACTTATTGAGATCTCTGTGTGATTTTCTTTGGAGGCTAAACAGTTGTGGGGTACAGGGTGGAACAGAAACCCCAACAAGGAGGCCCCCGTTCGTGTTACAGAGCAGAGGTAGGAACCATTAAGGAACACTGCTCACTGACTTGTTCCCCCTGCTTTCCAATACATTCTAGAACCTACTTCCCAGGGACCTACCCCACCCAAAAGTAGGCTGTAGAGAGCTGCGTGGAGCCGCACCTGATGGCAATGTGGAGAGATGCGTGGAGCCACACCTGATGGTGCTGGCTCCCGCCCTCAGTGATCCCAAAAGTGAGTGCTCTCTGTGATAATCAACTCCTGTTATGGCTAAGGCCTGACTCATGCTATTATCACGCAATGATTGTCAGCTGCTTGCATATGCGTGGACCTATGGACAGTGCCCATGTGGCAATCCGGGGTTGGCGATCTGTGCCTTTTTAAGGGCTGGGAGAGGTTTGCCCAGAGAGAGAGGAGAGAGAGAGAGAGAGAGAGAGAGAGAGAGAGAGAGAGAGAGAGAGATCTGGAGCATGGGGGGGGGGGGGAGAGGGGGAACAGAATCTATGATGTCATTATCTGACCTCTGTGACATAGGCTTTTGATACCAGAGAAAGCCACTTCCAGGGAATGAGCCCCTCAGCTCCCACTGGGGGCAGCAATGCCGCCCCTTAGGCAAAGCTTCAGTCTCTGGGAGCCATTTACCTGCTGACCCTACTGTTGCTGCCACTGGGTCTGACAATCACCTCTGTCAAGGCCAGGTTGAGTGAGAGGGACACCACTGTGAAGGGTGACAAGTGGCCAGGGGAGCCAGCATGCCAGGAAGTCAGGATGCTTACAAAATCTGTGTGTCAGGGATAGAGGGACAAAACCCTGCACCACAGAAGAGCTCTGCCTGACAGAGGCCTTGAGGCACCACTAGGAGTGGAATTCAGGGTAAGAGTCTGTGTAGGGGTCAGAGGCTGGAAGCAGAGGAGACTGTTTTGTGACTCTGCTTTCTCTTCCCTTTTTGAGGAAGTGTCTTGGAAACAGCAGAAGGAATCCACATTGGTAAAACTGCCTATTATCTCCATCCTTTCCTCCATCCTTCTGATCTGCTCCGCTGCTTTACCCTTCTCTAGAGCATCCGCCAGGTTTTCTGACCTCAAAGGTGACAAACAGCTAGTGTCTTTGCTGTTATGTTGAGACAGATGCCTGTAACCCAGGTTGGTCTTGATCTCCTTGTGTCCCTGCTGGGGATACAAGCTTTAGCCAGCATGCCATGTTTATGTGCTCTTGGAGATCAACCCCAGGACTTCTTCATGCATGCTAGGCAAGCCCTGGCTCTACCAGCTGAACTACACCCGAAGACCTCACATCTAGGGTTGTGATAAGTTCACACTGGAACTGTGTGCCTGGAGCAGAGTCCAGAAGTGGACCGATCGTTCCAACATCCTAATCTCTGTCTTTTTCTCTGCAGGTCTTCCAGACTGGGTCGTCTTCTCATTTCTACCCACCGAGTTAGGGTTGCCCCTCGGCTCCCAAGGGACAACTCTCATTCCCCATTTCTGTACATCTCTAGCGAATGGCTAAGAAAAAGTGAAGAGCCAAGCTTAGATGCAGGCTCCAGACTGAGCACGCGAGAGACAAGCAGAAGAGGCTTCGTGTTCCCTTGGCCTGCTGCTGACATCTGCAGTGAAACTAGGCAGCGGCCACACTGCTGTGGCAGAAGGCAGTCACCAACTAGGAAGGTCTCTAATTAGTCTTGTGGCCCCGCCCACTTTTTTTCCTGGATTCAAGGCAATGTTGCCTCAAAACAAGGACCAGGTGCTGCTACAGAACACAGTACCCCCAGGGTGTCCCCCTCAGGTCCTCTCACAGTTTGCTGACTCCCCTCCATCTAACTTAGCATCTCTCTCCCCCCATCAGTCCCTCCCTCCTCCCCACCTACCTTTGCCTTCTCACAGGCCAGCCTATTTTTCCTTCTCTTCTCCGCCACAGCCCCACTCTCCTGGGCCTCACTTCAACTCAAAGTCTGACTGTGTTTCCCTCCCATTCTCTTCCTCCCTCCCGAGTTCCCCCACTTTCTTTCACCAGAACTACCCTCGTCTTCCTTCACGACACTCATCTCCTCCCCTCAACTACCAGCTGGGCGCCTCCCCTCCTCTTTCCCATCACTCTTCTCTTTCCCAGGTACAAAATTCCTCTCCTCACTCTTGCCAGTCTCCTCCCCACCTACAGGGCATCCATAGTTCCACAGCCACGTCCCCCAGCCCCAGCCCCACTTCTGGAGGGATTTCCAGTAACAAACAAACATGGCAGTGTCCTCAATCCAAAAACACCAGGTCCCTTGGGGTGGCAGGGGGATGCAAGGCAAGCAAGGTGGACCCTGCAGAGTTCAAGGACCCAGTGGCCCTCGCCCAAGCCCTAGCCGACCGTGTGGGGCGCCGCAGAATTGCAACAGATCTCCAGCTACTGTTTCTGCGGCGCATGTGTCTCGGCACATCCACACCCGGCCAGGCCCCAGTCGTGGAGTATCCCATTTGTCTACAGTGCCTCCAGTCCCGCACCCGGTCTTGCCCCACCCCCAAGGACAAGATGGGGGCAAGGCTTCTTGCCTTCCCTCAACTACTGCCCTGTGCTCAGGGCCAGGAGTCTGGGCCTCTCCGCATAGGTATTGGCTTCGGCCTCCACTTGTCTCGCGGCCAGGCCAAAGCCTTGCATTTGCTACCACCAAAAAAACGGCAGGAAGCAAGTCCTCAAGGAGAGGTCGTCCTGAGGCAACCGCCTACAACCCAGACCCCAGAAGCTCAAGTTATGGACACACTCTCCCAGGCCGGGCCCCTCAAGTTTGCAGGCCTCCAATCACTAAAATCCAGCCAATGTTCCGTGCCTCCAGCTCAGGCACCAAGATGGGTCACTGCCTCCCTAAGGCCCAGATTGTCTACAGCCCCAAAGAGGTTGGCGACTCCAAAATCTATTCTCCAAAAGTTACCACCTTAATTCCAGAGCAGCGGAGACCCTATGGAACACCCTCTCCAAACCCCACCCTCCCTACCAGGACTTCTCAGACCTTAGGAAGCCACAGCAACACCTTGAAGGGCTGGCTGGCCGGAGGCCAAGTGTGTTCTCCTGCCCTGAACCCTGGAAACCCCTTGTGAAGTCTGCTCTCCCCTGGTTGAAGACCAGAAGCACCCAAGGCCCCATTCAGCCTTCACTGTATCCAATAAAGTCTAACCCTGAGACTTGTGTCTGAGTCCTACTGTGCCCACAGGGTGGATTCAAAGGCTATAGGATAAGGTCTCTCAACAAGGTTGGAGGGAAAGGAAGGTCAAGGACAGAAAGTGCCACACATCCCAGTATCTGAGCTGCTTAGAGACCTCTGCAAGGCCCTTTTCTGGTTTAATTCTAGTCTGTGGACACATAACTGGAATCAAAGAAGAGGTCACTGGGCCCATTTCTCAGGGCATGCCTGGGTGGACACACAGCAGCCCATTTTCCTCACTGGGAAAGACATGGCGAACAACTCATTCACAGGCAAACAAAGAAATCCCATGTACAGACCAGAAGGCTCCAGGACTGGAGAGATGGCTGAGTGGTTCGCTAGCTGCTGCTCCTGCGAGTTCAGGTTCAATTCTCAGCACCCATATGGCAGCTCACAACTGCAACCCTAGTTCCAGGAGACCTAACACCCTCCTCTGGCTTCTGTGGGCACACTACACACGCCAGAGAGAGAGAGAGAGAGAGAGAGAGAGAGAGAGAGAGAGAGAGGGAGGGGAGGTGATGGAGGAAGGTCATTGGCTAATAAAGGAACTGCCTTGTCCCATTTTATTGGTTGGAAGATAGGTGGGAGGAGTAGGCAGAACAGGACGCTGGGAGGAAGAGGAAGTGAGGTCAGACTCGACAGCTCTCCTCGTGGGGGCAGACGCCTCAGAGAGATGCCATGCCCCGCTCCTGGGCAGACACACGCCATGAAGCTCCGACCCAGGATGGACTAGGCTAGAATCTTCCCGGTAAGACCGGTTCTCACAGATTATTAGAGATGGGTTGATCAGGATGTGAGAATTAGCCTGTAAGTGCTAGAGCTAAAGGGCCAAGCAGTGTTTAAAAGAATACAGTGTCCGTGTAATTATTTCGGGGCATAAACTAGCCGAGCAGGCAGCTGGGGTGCTGGGGACGCAGCCCCGCCGCCCCTATTACTACAGGGAGGGAAGGAGGGAGGGAAGGAGGGGGAGAAAGAGAGAAGAGAGAGAACAACTTTAAAAGGGGTAGCAGTAGCCCTGCAGTGGTGGTGCATGCCTTTAATCCCAGCACTTGGGAGGCAAAGACAGACGGATCTTTGTGAGTTTAAGGCCAGTCTGGTCTACAGAGCAAGTTCTAGGATAGCCAAGGCTTCACAAAGAAACCCTATCTTAGAGAGAGAGGAGAGGAGGAGAGGAGGAGGAGAGGAGAGGAGAAGAGGAGAGGAGGAAAGGAGAGGAGAGGAGAGAGAGAGAGAGAGAGAGAGAGAGAGAGAGAAAACAAGGTCCTGAATAAAACTGCTAGCAAGAAGAGCTCCGGTGTTGCGTCTTCCTTGCTGGTCGAGGTGGCTGCGACAAATGGTGGCCCATATGGGGAACCTCCAAACCTCTCTCCATGGAGCCCAGAACTTGCTGCAGTCAGGGGGTGCACCGGTAAATCCTCAGGTAAGGCTGGGGATCTATGACAAAAGCGGGTTTTCTGCTCTCCCCAGTCGCTGCTATGACCTGCGTCCCAGCGCGGCTGGAAAATGGCAGTAAATTGCAGTAAGAATCCAGAATCCCCGCTCAGCAGGAAATAGCCAGAGAGACTGACAACACCCCAATTCCCTATAAGATAATTTAAGCAGGGCCCCTTCAGAGCAGAAGCAGGATCAGCTAGGCTGCTAGGGAGGCCAAAGAGGTTCACGAGGGAGAAGGTGTCTTCCATGCACTCAGCTGACAAGAATGAATGTGCCACAGGGGCATGGCAGCTGGGGTATGTTATTTAGGGGACTGCTGAAGGAACAGTGGTTTCTGTCTGCTCCTGGGGTCATGGCAGAGCCACTCCTAAAGGTCCCTAGTCTGAAATGGTCACACACCTCTGTTCACTTGAGGGGAAGAGGGTGTGTGGGAAATAGTCTGGGGAACCAACAGTCTCTGGGATAAAAATGTTTAGGGGGAGAGAATGTTGGGAACAGTGAGACCCCAGATCCTGAATTTCTTGTTTTCCCCTGATCTGAGTGCCTACAACTGCTCTGAGCAGGAGACCTTCAGGAGTTCCTGATGGCAGGAGAATGGTTTCTGGTGGGTTTGGCTGGGGCGTGGCTATCTCTATATAATCTGCCCCTGAACACTGAATAAAGGGGGCATTCTTGGGGAATTCAAGGATGACCTGTGTCAATTTACTCATGCAGCTAATTTGTCTAGAGAATTGTCTAGCTATCTTTTAGGTAATTGGTCTGGTGAATTCGAAAAACAACTGGAAAAGCGACTGCAAATTCCACATGCATGGATACCAGCCTGGCAGAAGGACTATCCTCCTGGATTATTACAGCCATGGATCATCTGAAGGAGTGCGCAGGAATAGGAGCCCTAACAGGCTTAATGGTGCTTGCCTCCCTGGTATGCCTATGGTGCATTTGTCACATAAGGGTTTCACAGCATTGCAATGCAGTTATGATCATTCAGGCGTTCACGGTCATTGAAGCAGGACAGTCCCCTCAAGCTTGGTTATATATTTGAGCACAGGATGCGAGGCTTGTGCACTGCACTTGAGGTCAGAGAAGTCCTCAAGAAGAGCAAGTCTGATTGCATGTGGGTTGGTGTCTAACTCCCATCTCTGTAAAAAGGCACTGGACAGGTCTAATGTTCTCTGAGTGGATGACACCTGGACAGACACTAGTACATGTTCCATTTTTAACAGAGATCAGACCTCTACTCTTGCCTGTTGCTTTACAAAACAAAAAGGAGGAACTGTAGAGAGCTGCGTGGAGCTGCATCTGATGGCAATGTAGAGAGCTGCGTGGAGCCACACCTGATGGTGCTGGCTCCCGCCCTCGGCGATCCCAAAAGCGAGTGCTCTCTGTGATAATCAACTTCTATTATGGCTAAGGCCTGACTCATGCTATTATCAAGCAATGATTGTCAGCTGCTTGCATATGCGTGGACCTATGGGCAGTGCCCACCTGGCAATCCGGGGTTGGCGGCCTGTGCATGTGTGTGGTGTATTGTGTGTGGTGTTTGTGTGTGTGGTATCTGTGTGTGTGGGGGGGGGTGTGTAGTGTTTGTGTGTGAGTGTGTATGTGGTGTGTGTGTATGTTTGCATGTGTGGTACGTGCATTTCCATGTGTGGTATGTGTGTGTGGTGTGTGTGCATGTGTGTGTGTGGTACATGTGTGTGGTGTTTGTGTCTGTGGTGTATGTGTGTGTGGTGTTTGTGAACATTAATCTGTCCACGCAGACTAAAGAGGTTCTGATACCTGTTACAGCAAAATGAACATTAGGCTAAGTGAAAGACACAGCATGCCATGTGGTATATGGTTCTACTCATGGGCGATTTCCAGAAAGGTAAACCGACGTGGACTTTGGATGGACTGGTGGCTGCCAGGGCTTAGAGGAGGCGGTGGCACTGGAGGAAAATTGCTAGATGGATTTGGAGTCCTTTGGAAGTGACAGATGTTTGGAAGTGTTTAAAATGGTGGATAGTAGGCTAGAGAGATGGCTCAGCAGACAGAGGTGAAGTTACTGTTGAATATCATCTCAAAGGAAAAGTCAAGCTGACAGGTCTGTTGAGTCTCAGTTGTCTTTGCTAAAGTGGCATGTTTGGGGCTTGCATAATCAGACTCATTTTGAAGTATGATTTACGCTGAGATATTAATGTAGTAAGACTTGGCTGTTACAACCAAGCTATCTCTTCTCTCTCCTTATTTATTTAATTTTTTTTATTTATTAATTTTCAAGACAGGGTCTCACTATGTAGCTGACTATGTAGACCAGGCTGGCCCTGAACTCACAGAGATCCACCTGCCTCTGCTTCCTGAGTGCTGGGAATAAAGGTGTGCACCATGCTTGGCTTCCTACCTTGTTTTCTATTTAGAAGAACCAAATCTCTAAGTCAGATGACTCGGTGTCCTAAACCCCCAGAAATATCCCTGCAGACAGAGATTGCAACTAGGAAGGTAAATAAGGAATGAGCACTAGAAAGAAGCGTCTAATCAGTCAGTCTCTGTCAGGGTCTGTCCAGTGACGGGATGCACCTTGTGTGTGTGTTCCTCATAGCAGGTCTTCCACCCACCTCCAGCCCCCAGGTCACTTGCAGATCTGGTACTTCAACTCAGGGTCATCTAGAGTCATCATGCAGAGTGAAGAGAGAGATTATTTCTTCAAAGGCAGGCATGCTGGGTGGAGGAAAACCACTGCTTCTCTGATCATGTTCAAGTAAACAGAGTTAATATAACGAACAAGCTCCTTCAGATCTCTGGGCCAGATCCTCTCACTGCTGAAAGGGCGATTAAAAGTCTCCACACTCTTTCCGGAGCCCAGGACATAGCCTCTGAGAAACCTACATACTTCAGTTTGATTCCACAAAGTGTCCTCACTGACAAAGTACAGGGAGAGAGGTACAAAGTACAGGGAAAGAGGTATAAAAGTCTGGGACCCCTAAATATGATAAAGAAACATCACGGAGGCGAATTTTATAATAAATAGTTTCTAGTCAACACAGCCTTTAACAGAGAGAACTCAAGAGGGGATGATCATGCAATGCCAGCAGCCTGCAAGCCCAAGGAAGGCAGTATACGCCTGTGCCATGGGTGGGTGGGGGCAAGATGACGTGCTGTGGACACAGAGAACTGCCCCAGTGTGGGCATCACTGTCCAGTGGGCTGGGGGCTGCTATGGAAACCAGAAGAGGAAGGTCTGCGTGTGGTTCTTCCTTCCAGAGTGGCCCTGGGCCCAACCTGAATTCCCCAGTTGGAAGAGGCCAGTGTGAGTCATCCGTCCCACC